ATTGTTTATATGTGGTCTTGCCATTGTCCATTTACATATACAGTCTCTTGAATTATTATTTATTTTATTAAGTGTGACAGTGGTACAATGTAAAAAATAAAATGCCCCTAGGTAAAATGTATACCAGATTATTTACAGATTAAATAATCCAGAAAACCAAAGAGGAGGGGGAGATTGATAGATAAAAGAAAATAGGCACAACAGTGATATTTGTTGAATCTGGGTTATGGATATGTGGAGGCTTGTTATATTGTTCTAAGTTGTGTATATTTTGAAGTTTCTGTAACAAAAAGTTTTTGCTATTGAGGATGGTAATAGTACCTACCTCATAGGGTTGCTTTGAGGATTAAATGAGATAATTCAAGTGGAAGCTTTAGGACAGGACTTGGCATAAGGGGAGTCAGACCTTGCAGTAGGCCTTTGCTGAGCATGACTTTTTGGCATTATTTCATTATTATGTGAGATATTATGTGGGATTTACTATATAGGCTGTTTTAGAAACTGATTTTTTCACTCAGCAATACTTTGTCAGCATATTTATGTAACATATGTCTATATCTACATTGATATTTTTAATGGCTGCCTACTATTTTGTCATATGGATTTACTATAATTCACTTAACCACTCCTTATTAATAGTGAGAGTGCTGAACTTTATCTGAGCCCTGTGCTTCTGGAAAACAGCATAGGTTAAGGAATCCCCCACACTTTTGTTTGGGCAACAGTATAGTGTGGCATAAAATGATGATGGCATTTCAGTGCAGTGGAGGAAAGAATAGACTTTTCAATGAATGGTGCTGGAAAGATTATCTATTCATTTGAGACAAACTTAGATCCTATCTCTTATAAGATTTGAACTTTATAAAATAAATTACAGAGTATTAAAGGCGAAACATTAAGGAACAAAACATAAAACACAAAACTAAATGTTATGGGTTGAATTGTGTCCCCACCAAATTCATATGTTCATGCCCTAACCCCCAGTACTCTGGAATGTGACCTTATTTGGAAATAAGGTTGTTGTAGATGTAATCAAGTTAAGATAAGGTCATTAGGATGGGCTCTAATCCAATATAACTAGCTGTCCTTATATAATCCAACATAACTAGCTGTCCTATGTATAAGGAAATACCATATGAAGGCAGAGACACACAGGGAGAATGCAAGGCAAGGAATGCCAAGGATTGACAGCAACCACCAGAAGATAGAAAAGTCAAGGAAAGATTGTACCCAAAGTCTCAGAAGGAACCAACCCTGCTGACACATTGATTTTAGACTGCTAGCCTCCAGAACTGTGAGAAAATTAATTTCTATTACTTAAGTTTGTGATACTTTGTTATGGTAGCCCTAGGAAACTAATATAATTACTATCTAATTTTAAAACATTTCATCAGACCCCAAAGAAACTCCATACCCATTAACAATCACTCCCCATTCCTCCTTCCCTCTATCCACTGGCAACCATTGATCTATTTTTTGTCTGTATGGAATTGCCTTTTTTGGACATTTCATATAAATGGGATTGTACAATATATTGTATTTTGTGACTGTCTTCTTTTACTTAGTATTGTGTTTTCAAAGTTCATCAATTATGTAGCATGTATCAGTACTTCATTCCTTTTATTGCCAAATATTATTTCATTATTTGGATATACCATATTTTATTTATCCATTCACCAGTTGATGGACATTTGTGTTGTTTCTACTTTTGGCTCTTATGAATAACACTGCTATGAACACTTGTGTGCAAGTTTTTGTGTGGATGTATATTTTTATTTTTCTTTGATAAATATCTAGGAATGGAATCACTGAGTGATATGGTAACTCTATGTTGAATGTTTTTAGGAACTGCTAAACTGTTTTCCAAAGTGGCTGCACCATTTTACAATCCTCCCAACAATGAATGAGGATTCCAATTTCTCTACATTCTGATGGCTTCTTATCTCATTCAAAATAAGAGCCAATATTCTTACAGTGGACTAAAGGGACCAAAATTGTATTAGTCAGGGTTCTCCAGAGAAACAGAATCAATAGTGTGTGTAATTAATTAATTAATTACTTGGCTCATGTGGTTATGGAGGCTGAGGAGTCCCACCATCTGCGATCTGCAAGCTGGAGAGCCGGAAAAGCCAGTGGTGTAATTCAGTCTGTGTCCAAAGCCCTGAGAAACGGGAGCCAATGGTGTAATTCCCAGTCTGAGGGCAAAAGCCTGAGAAGAGAGGGGTGCTGTGCTGGTGTAAGTCTCAGAGTGTGAAGGCCTGTGAGCTAGAAGCTTGATGTCTGAGAGCAGAAGAAGATGGATGTCTCAGCTCAAGAAGAAAGAGAGAAAAATCATCCTTCCTCCACCTTTTTATTCTATCTGGGCCATCAGTGGATTGGATGATGCCTGCCCACATTGGTGAAGGTGGATCTTCTTTACTCAGTTTACTGATTCAAATGCTAATCTCTTCCAGAAACACTCTCATAGACACACCCAGAAATAATGTTTTACCAGCTATCTGGGCATCCCTTAGCCCAGTCAAGTTGACACATAAAATTAAGCATCACAAACATGATCTGGCCTTTTCCTATGTCTTCAGTGTTCTAACCACATCGACCTGTTGCTGTTCCTCAAATAAACCAAGCACACTCTCTTTAGGGGCTTTGAATCTGCTGATACATTGTTACCGAGCAATGGGCTCGCTCTGCTCGCTGTGATCTGAGCCAATTAATCACAATGAGTTAGGGATCGAGAAAGGAAGTTTTAATTCGATTAGCAGCATAACCGGGAAGATGGCAGACTAATGTCTCAAAAAACCATCTTCAAAAATTACAGGATCTTGAGGTAGTTATATAGGGAAAATGGGCAGTGAGGAGGGGGTCCAGAGATGTTGGTCTCCAGGGGTGATGGGCTCCAGGCATCACATTGTTCCATTCTCCTGTCAGCTGTGATGGATACCTTGTAGGTGTGTTTCCCACCTGTGGTCAGCCTGTTCCTGGAGAGAAACTCATAGAAAAAAGTTTTAATTTATCAAGCTGTTGGGGAGTACATACATAAGCAGAGGCCATAAATCAGGAGAGCACATGAATTTTTTTTTTAGAGTGCATGCAGAGCAGTGAGTAGTCACACAGAGGAGGGGCTGGGGCCACTTAGCATAACAAGATGGCCTCACTTATGTTCACTTACATCATCTGCCTAGAACAGACTCACCACAGACATACTCCCTCTTGTTACCTCACTTACTTCAGACTTCTGCCCATATGATCTCTTATCAAAGAAGGCAATCCTTACAGCTCTATATTAAATAAGAATCCTTCCCCCACCTCTTTGCCCTGCTTTTGTTCAATCCCTCTTTTCCTGACCCCGATTGGAATGTAAGATCTTTGAGAAGAGGGACATTAATTATTGTGTTCACTGTGTTAAAGAGAAATTATGCTGACACTTGAAACCTGCAAAGCAGACTTTATTCAAGACTGTTGCAATAAGAGAGAAAGCTTGAACTTAACTCCCAGTACAACAGGGACAAGTGGGGATTCATAGCCAACTGTCAGGGTAAAGGAGTAGATGGAAAATTACTAAGAAGAAATTGATTAGGTATCAAGGGTGTGGTGGTGAGGGGAGGGGGAGAGGAACTTGATTAGATATCAAGGGTGCAAGAAGAGGAGCTTGATTGGATATCAAGGGTGGGGGAATACTTGATGAACTGGCTTAATAGGATTCTTTGCTAAATTTGGGCTCAGCAGGCCAAAGACAAGGCTTAGTCAAGAATAGGGCTCAGAGAAGCCTGAATAAAGTTTGGTCAAGGAGAGAGTCCTTGTCAACTGCTCTATCCTTAGCATCTAGAACAGTGATTGGCACATAGTGGGGCATTGGTTAATCACTGTTAAATTGGTGAATGAATGCCCCATTCTGAGAAATTTTCTTTCAAATAAGAAGTCCTTATTGAACAAAAAAGATACATTTTTCTTCCCAAGCTGTCCAATTCCTGTAGTTTATAAGTAGAAATATTTTTTTATAGAAAATAATACATTTGTTAAAACTAATTCAATCTTGTTCCATTTTCTATGTCAACACATGATGAGAAAATTAACTTTCAGTGTTCTGGGTGCTATACTTTTTAAACATGCTTTTTCTTTGCTTGAAATCAAAACAGGATTACTTGGAAAAAACAAATAAACAAACGAACACACCATAAAGAGCTGCCCCAAAGTACCATATAACATGTCATGCAGATCCTCATCAATTTCTAGAAGTGGGTGCCGATTTTGGCTGCACGTTAGAATCACTTGGAAGTTTTAAAAAAATCTCGATACCAGGACCATATACAGAGCATTAAATCCGAATGTCTGGAGCTGGGACCGAGGCACCATTACTTTCCAAAGCTCCGCGTGTGATGCCAACCTGCGCGTGGATGCATGGAGACCCTAAGACGGCTGATTGTATCCCGGACTACATTTCCCAGAGGCTTCTACGACCATTTCCGTTTCCGGCCTTGCCCGCCTTGGCGTGTGTAGAGCGAGGCGTCGGTTTGTTGCTGGTGTTAGTGGCCAGGTGCGCTTCGGTTAGTGGTGGCACAGCCTGCGCTTCTGGGTCTGGGAACGGCCGCCGCCGGGCTGGGTCTCTGAGACCCGCTGGGCCTCTCTTTTCCCCGGGGGGCAGGTAGAGGAAGGAGCCGGTTCGGAGGGGACCGTCAGATGTGGGCAGGGCCCCACCTGCAGGAGCCGTGCACTGTTGAGTGGCCGCTTGAGTGGCGCATCACAGAAGGCTTAAAGGCTTGCGCCGAGGCCCAGAGACTGTCACCGACGAAACTTTCCACCGTGTTGGCCGAGGTGCCTGACTGACTCACAGCCAGAGCTTGGCCTGGAGCTTCCTGCAAGGCTGGCCTCCAGGCAGCCGTCCCATGACCTTTCTTCCTGACCTTAACCATCTTCACTTGTCTACCTACCTTTGTGGGGAGTAGGGAGGCTGATGGACCGCTCTCGTCCAGCTCGCAGAGAGCAAGTTCTAGCTAGTATAGGACATGGAGGGATTTCCTCATATCGCCTTTATTTCCCGGATTGGTTTACTCAGGATTCTTGGCCTTTGCCTGGGAGAACAGTTCAGGAGACAGATGGCCCCAAGACTACCAAGAGCCCAGATCCAGGCAAGTTTGATTTTTCTTTTTCCTGAGAAATCGCCATCATTTCCAATTGAAGTTCCGTTTATGCCTTTTGCCTGGAAGATGCTCTGCCCGGTGTATGGACCAAGTTGCCTGAGCCAGTCCTGGATGGGAGCAGCTCTACAGAGAAGGGACATGTCTCCCCACTGTCATCCCTTCATGTCCTTCTCTCTACCGATTACATAGTCATTCACTAAATAGATGTTGCTATCCGTGCTTTCTAGAGTGCTAGAGACTGAAAAATACTTTGTACGTAAGGCATAGCTGTTGTCTCAAAGACGTTGCCAACTCACAGAAGATGAAAAACAGACACATTTAGCATATAAAGACATACAGGCTAAAGTATCAGTAAATGATACACACCACTCAGGGATGGCAGTGCTCTCTTGACCTTGGGGGGGGGTCAGAGGAGTCTTCAGGGTGGGGCGGTGGTGATGGTGGTGATTGTTGTAGTTTTTCCTGAAGAATAAGTGAAATTTGCATAATTGCAGAGGATGGGGTGACTAGGGGAAGGCGCTGCAACATGAGTGAAGCCATTACATCTGAACCATGAACAATGCGGCCCCAGAGAAAGTTGGAAATGTTCAGGGTCTAGAATGCCAGTCTGGAGTTTGCCTTTATCCTGGAGAAAACTGGGTTTTGAGGATTTTGAGAAGTTGGCAGGAAGTAATCAGCATTTTTAAAAGTAATAAATATTTGAATATTTATTGTACAAACGAAGAGTAACAAAATTTTAAAAACTAGAGATTACCCACATTCCTATGAGGCTAACAAGTCAAATTATTTCGTTTGAAACACGTTTTCATATGTATTTTTTAGGCTTACTCATTTTTTCCTTTAAATATGTCAGAGCCATTTCTTCCAATTTGCTCCATAGTCACATTTTTATAGCTCCTTTTTATATTGTACCCCTCAACCAGCCCTCTGACCATGAGCAAGTTCTTTCAACTCTCTGAGCCTTAGTATCCTTAGCTATAAAATAGATGCAATAATGCTTTATACAGTTGTGGTGGAAGTTCAGAGAGAGATGGTGTATATGCTAGGGCTTAGCACTGTGCCTGGTGCATGTTAAGTTGCTACTGCTATGAGTGGCAATTAAAAAAATATATATATGTGTATATTGATATTCTGCCCCAGAGTCAGACCATAGTCCTTGTACGTTCTGGGATAAAGCCAATATCACTTTGCCTTTCTTTCAGAGTTTCTGTTAATTTGTTGATTCACAAATCCTTGAACACTCCCATGTGCCAGGCAGTGTTTTAAGCTGAGGAGACAGCAGTGACCCAAGTGGTCCCTGCCCTGGAGCTCACATTGTAGGGGATACTGACAATAAATCTAAACCTCTCCTGCCAGCTAGTGAGAAATCCTGTGAAGAAAAATAAAGTGGGTCCTGATGAGGACGGGAGAGGAGAAAAGAGGAGACCTTTTTGATAACGTGACATTTAAGCAAAGACCAACAAAGTGAGGGATGAGCAAACACCAGCCCCGGAGGAGGGAGCATGATGGGTGTGTTGGAAGAACACGAGGAGGGCAATGTGGCTGAAGTGAGGGATCCGACCTCCTCTCACCCTTCGCTGGGTTCTCCAGTTTCTCGTCTTTTAATTCTTCATTCCTGTGAAGCAGGTCTGCTCTCTGAACGTGTCCTATACTTTCCCCTTGGTCCTTTTGTTAACTGTGTCCCACTTCTCTCCCAGTAAACAATCTGAACTATCAGAAGCTGGCCTTGAATTTCTTGCTTTCCTTCTCCTGTGAGGCCTTTCTGGCTCCCTACTTCAGGGGCAAGGATGTCAGCGGTTCCTGGATGAGCAGAATTGGGTCTGGTTTTGCAGGGATCACTGACATTTGGGGATGTGGCTGTGGCCTTTACCCAGATTGAATGGAGACACCTGGATTCTACTCAGAGGGCCATGCACAGAGATGTGATGCTGGAAATCTATGGGAATCTGGTGTCCGTGGGTAAGGATGTCTTTGTGTTTGACTCAAAATTGGTCTACTGGGCAACTGTGCATTTTCACAGGGTAAGTGATTTGGGGTATTTAAAAATCTTAAATGGCAGGGTTTTTTTGTTTGTTGTATTTTTTTTTTAGCATGGGCTTAGACGCTGGAGTTTACGCCCCTTCTACCCCTCAGAAAGGTCAGAGCCTTACAGAGTTTAAGATGGGCAGCTTTGTGTGCAGTCCAGCCCAGTTTTCTAAATTTTCCACGTCAGGATTCATCTGCCACCAACAGGAGTTTCTCTTCCTCAAGGAGGTCCAGTTTTCTAACTGACTTTCCCTCCTACATTTCTATGACTGCGTGATATGGACATCCTTGATACCACCCTCTAGGCCTCCCTGACATACCCATGCTCCTTATAGACCCCCAAGTTGAGACTGAGGTCTGGGATAATTCCTTGTGCTCATAACCATGGTTACATTCCTTTTCTTTCTCTATGAACAGGGCTTCTCTCTTCCAAACCCAAACTAATCACCCAGTTGGAGCAGGGGGCAGAGCTGTGGGGAAGTACAGGAAGTCCCATCAGGTACTTGTGTAGGTGAGTGAGGTGGGAGCCATTTCAAGCAGCAGCTCAGCACACAGAATGGCAAGGAAGACATTCTTGGTCAGAAAGCTCCTCTCAGGGGGCCCATGTCTGTGCACCAGGGCTGGAGCACCTGGCACTAGTTTCCTCTTTTTAACGTCATCCTTATGTCAAATGACCTGCGATTTTTCTCCATTCTTTCCTCTCCTGTGGACAGCTGCTCCCTTCACGAGGGCCTCAGGCCCATTAGCTCCTGCCCTGCAATCCTCAGTCTTTTCATGTGTTTTTCCCTCCCCATTTTCAGGCGCTTGTCAGGCTATTCTTTATTTCCACCTTCTGTCATTCTCAATTCCTTCGAAATTCTCTCCTGGTTAGCTTGTTCAATGACTGTATAACCCTTTCTAGTTTTAGGATCCATATCCCTGATCGTATAGTGGCATGGCAGATTCAAAGTATAAGCATAGTTTTTTAACTATCAGGTAACTATTATTTTTGGCAAACAAATTGATGGGGAAGCATTTTCTTTTCTTCCCTTTTCTCATAGGTCGTCTTTTATTTCTCTTCTCTGTTATCCTTTGCTCTTGGCTCTCATTTTTTTCTGTGTATACTTTGCATAAATTTCTGTATGTCACTTGCTCTGTGTCATAGTTCATATTTATTTATTTTTACTTTTTTTTGTGAGGAAGATCGGCCCTGAGGTAACTTCCGATGCCAATCCTCCTCTTTTTGCTGAGGAAGATTAGCCCTGGGCTAACAACTGTGCCCATCTGCCTCTACTTTATATGGGATGCCGCCACAGCATGGCTTGACAAGCGATGCATCGGTGCGCACCCAGGATCCCAACCTGGGAACCCCGGGCCGCCGAAGCAGAGCACGAGCACTTAACTGCTGCGCCACTGGGCCAGCCCCTATAGTTCATTTTTAAATCTTTAAAAGTGGATGTTTCTCCTGGAATGCTTATCCTGCCAGTATTCCTTCTTTTAAAACTCTGTCATTTTGCCTATATCATCTTAGGGGAAACTTGTATAGCTGTATTTCATGGAAAATCCCAGTGATACATAATGATCTTGCTTAACCTAGGTTTTTAAAAAAATGCTTTTCAGTAATTCCTTTTGTTCTTACTGTGTTTAACTTCCCCTCCACTAAATTCTTGTGTAGATTCTTTATAGGGTAACAGCAGTAACTCAGTCTTCCTTATTCTTTGTTCTTTCTGTTTTAATTTTAGTATTTTTTGAAATAGGATGTTTAAAATTTAGATGTAGTAAAAACTAGCAATGTTTCCTCTAATATTTCTTTTATCCATTTAGAAGATTAATAAATCTTTATACAAGATTTCACAACCATTCAGTATTTTATGCTCCCCCCGCTTTTTTTGCATATTTCCCTCTGTTAGTTTTTAGAAATGCATATGGTGCAAAATTCAGATGGTTCAAATGGTATGCAGCCTCCTTCACGTACCTTTCCTAATCACCCACTTCCCCTCCCCAGAGGCATCCTTGTATAAGTTTCTTGTGGAAGTTTCCAGATATAATGTATGCTTTGCAAGAATGTACATGTATTATTTTTAAAACACATTTGTCACATATCTTGGAAATCATTTCACATAGCTACATCCTATAGAGCCACTATTTTTCTTTTGAATGCCTGTGTAGTGTTCCCTTTTATGGGTATACTGTAATTTATGTAGTCAGTTCCCTATTAATGGACATAATAACTATGAACAGTGCTGCAGTGGTTATCTTCATACATATATCAGTTCTCTCAAGTACAAGTAAATCTCTAGGATAAATTCCTAGAAGAATTGCTCGGGGAAAGGGTAAGTATATTTTCAAATTTAGTAGATACTACCAACATCCATAGAGATTATATGTATTTATACTCCTAATGACAATGTATGAGTGCCAACCTGAGCATACCTTGTCAACAGTGACTTATACTTTTTGATCATTGCCAATCTGATAGTTAAATTTTTTTATTTTATTGTAATTTTAATTTGCATTTCTCTTATCAGGAGTATAGTTGAGCATGTATTTTTTAACTTTGTTTTTTATTGACTTTTTTTTGTATTGTCAACAATAATGGTAATGATGGATATGCTTGTCTTTTTGTGTCTTTAATGGGATTGTGTCTAGGGTTCTTGCATTTAGCTGGTTGTTGGGTTGGGATACGTATTTGTCATTATGTAGAGGAAGTATTTAATTCACCTCTTTTATTAAGGAATTTTTGTTTTTTTAAATTAAGCGTGGATGTTGAATTTTATCAAATGTGTTTTCAGCATATATGGAGATGCTATCTATCTTTTCCCTTTTTATCTGTTAATGTGGTAAATTTTATTGACTTTGCATTCTTAGCAGAACCCCACTTGGTCATGGCACAGTACGTTATTCTTTTAATATACCAGTAGATGATTCTATTTGCTAATCTTTTATGTAAGTTTTTGCATGGATATGTATAAGAAATTTGTTTACGTTTTTCTTTTTTGTCAGGCCATTTTCATGGGTTTTTTATTTGTTTTGCAATATTTCTTAAAAAATTTTTGGATCCTTCCTATTTTTATCCTCTGGTATAGTTTAGTTCATGTGACAGCTGGTTCCCTGAAGGTTTGGTGCTATGTTTTGTTTTTACTTATTTATCGTGACAGGGAGGAGGGTAGGGGAATTGGGGAGTGGTTCTTTGACAGTATTCTCTCCTATATAGTAACCTGTCGAAGTAGGTTTTCTTTCTCTCCCTCGAAACAGTTTTGGTAATTCACAATTTCCTTAAACGTATCCAATAATTCAAGTTCGCAGATTTATCTACATAGTTGTGAACAAAGTAGCCTTTTATGATTCTTTTTATAATATCCTCTACATTTATGGTTACTTTCTCCTGATTTCGTACATTATTTATTTGTCTTTTTCCATTTTTTCTCATTCATTAGCTCTTTTATTTTTTTAAAGAGCTCTTAGATGTATTTATTAGTATTATTGTTTTCTGCTTTTAATATTTAATTCCTTCTTCCTTTTCTTTCCTTAGGTTTATTTACTTTTTCTAACCTTTTTAGTTGTTTACTTAATTCATTGATTTTCCTTCTTGTTTATGTAATATAAATGTTTAAAGGCTTAAACTTTTGTTTGTGCAGTGGTTTGGTTTTATTCAATAGATTCTGATATGTAGTTTTTATTATTATTATCTTTTAGATATTTTGTAATTTGTGTTTGGATTCTCTGATCAAAGTATTAAGAGACTTGTAAACTAGCCTTCCTTTTTCTTTCTTAAAGACTTTAAAAAATTTAATAAATATATAGAAAAGTTGATAAAAAATATATGTACAGCCTAATTAGTGTTTTTAAATTGCATACTCATGTAACCAGCACTCAGGGCAAGAACTAGAACACTGGCTGTACTCTACTAAATCACATCTTGTTTCCTCCCAATCATTAACCATGCTCTCCCCCTCCGCCTAAACAAAAATAGTTTATTTTGGCTTGTTTATAAGTTTTATGTGAATGGAACCATATAGTATCTTTTTCCCCCTCTGGCTTCTTATGGATAACATTTTGTGAGATTCATCCATTTTCATTCATTGTCCTTGCTGTGGATCAGTAGTTCTTAAAACTCTAGCATACATCAGAATGCATGCTTAAGTATAATTGCTGGTCCCCACTCTCAGAGTTTTTTTTTTCGCTAAGTCTGGAGTGTGGACTGAAAATTTCTACAAGTTCTCAGGTGATGCTGATGCTGATGCTCTTGGTTTGGGGCCCATGCTTTGGGAACCACTGCTATAGAATATTTCATTCATTGTATGACTAAACCATAGTTCATCTCATATATTTGGATGGATATTTGGGCTACTTCCAGCTTTTGACTATTATAAATGCTATGAACATTCTTCTGTGTTATCTCTTGGTTCACATGTGACTACATTTCTGTTGGGCATATACCTAGGAGTGGAATTTCTATTTTATAGGATATGCATATATTCAACTTTAGTACAAATGCCAAATGGTTTTTCAAAGTTTTATACCAATTTATACTTCCACCATGAGTGTGTGAGAGTGCTCATTGTTCCATATCCTTGCCAACACTTGATATTGTCAGTCTTCTGAAGTTAGTCATTCCCTGGATGTGTCACGTATCTCGCTGTGGTTTTAAAATCCATACTCCTGATACCTAATAAAGTTCAGGACATTTTCAAATGTTTGCTGGCCAAAATATACCATCTTTTGTGAAGTATCTGTTCAAAGAACACTTTGGTGATTACATATGCAGTATCACCTTTCTCTCTGTGGTTTGCTTTTCACTCTTAATGGTCTGTTGATGAATAGACGTTCTTAATTTTTTTTTTTCCTGAGGAAGATTCGCCCTGAGCTAACATCTATGCCAATCTTCCTCTATTTTGTATGTGGGTCACCACCACAGCATGGCCGCTGACGAGTGGTGTAGTCCATGCCCAGGAACCAAACCCAGGCTGCTGAAGCGGAGCACACTGAACTTAACCACTGGGCCATGGGGCCGGCCCCTAGAAGTTCTTAATTTTAATGAACTCAGTTTATCAACCTTTTTCTTTCTTGTTGGTGCTTTTCGTGTCCTATTTAATAAATCTTTCTTTTTCCCAAGTTCATGAAGATGTTCTCCTGTGTTAACATCTAGAAGCTTTATTGTTTGTCTTTTACATTTAGATTTACCATCCTCTTAGAATTGATTTTGTGCATGGTATGAGATAGGGTTCATGTTTACTTCCCCCCCCCCCCCAAATATGCTAAAGTAGTCTCCTCTTCCTCACTGCTCTGCAAGGCTACCTTTCTCATAGAGCACGTGTCCATATGTGTGCCTTTCTCTTCATATGAGTAATTTGCCTCCACCTAGCTTTACAATCAGTATCTTGAAATTTTCTCTAGTTTAACCATTACGCGTTAAATATATATCCCATCAAAGGCCATTTGAAGGATCTGGGCTGTTTCTTACCAGGCTTCACCTCCAATTTGCATCTCCTTAAAGAAGTCTTAGCTCTAATATCTGATGTATGGGATTTCTCCCCAGGCTAATAAATATAAATATATAAAAAAATATAAATATAAATATATGTGTGTATATGTGTGTATATATCTATATCTGTAGTTATAGATAGAAATAACTTTTTATGAGAAAAAATTCATTCAGTAAAAGAATTGATCAACCATTGTTGATTTATCAGAAATTTGGCTCCATTAGTTTTTCAGAATCTCCTTGTCAGAATCATTTTGCATATTTTCTATTGGGTCTTGTGTCTGTACTTTGTAAACAGCTAAAGAAAAATCACATAGTTGACCTTTTGATTGGTATGTTCTTTTTTAGATATGTTAAAAACAGATTACAGTAAAATCTTTTGACATGAGAACTATTTTGATTCTTTAAATATTTTGTCTGGTTTTTATCTGAGTCATTAGATGTTAGTTTGCTGTTAAATTTTCACAGATGAATGTTATTCGTATGTTCTTGGAGAAATTACAGTCTTCTCAAATGTACCACCCTACAGGAGTAGGGTGCTACTTGGTTTTCTCCCCAAATTACATAAATTTATTTATGTATTTATGTATTATGTATTTATCCTCATATTCTCATTGCTTTTCTTTTCTGTGTGTTTCATGTGTTACCTCCCTAACTTGGTAACTTCTTAGATGCTCCTTGCATTCTTTAAATACAATGTTTATAATATAACTTCCTTCCATTTCTTTTGACTGCTACTTCTCATATCTTTAGTTTTGCCATCTATTCTGAGCAAGAATCACAAGTGGGATGAGTTAAAACCCTTAGTTGTGTTGAATAGAACATTATCCTTATCCTTGTGCAACTCTCATTTTCAGTATTTCAACAGAGAACACTTGAATTTTTAAAATTTTCTTTCAGTCCAGGAGTACTGGTTTGAAACAGAGTTGTTGGCCCTAAAACAAAATGTTTCTGATGGATCTGATCAGGAGGAGTGAATAAAAAGTGTCATGATGGAAAGAGGCCTGGATTGGGAGGACAGAAGTTCCACAGAGAAGATGCACTATAAATGTGAGGAATGTGGGAAAGTCTTCAAATATAATTCCTCCTTTATTAGCCACCAGAGAAATCATACTGGTGAGAAACCCCATAAATATAAAGAATGTGGGATAGCTTTTATGAGCAGCTCATCCCTTTTAAATCATCATAAAATTCACCTAGGCAAGCAACTTTATAGCTGTATTGAATGTGGGAAATTCCTCAAGAAGCATTCAAAGTTTGTTAATCATCAGAAAATACATTCTAGAGAGAAATTCCATAAATGCAATGAATGTGGGAAAGCTTTCAGAAAGAACTCTATCCTTTTAAGTCATCAGAGAATTCATACTGGTCAGAAACCCTACAAATGTAATAACTGTGGGAAAGGCTTTGCTCAGAATGCAGCCCTTACTCGTCATGAGTGAATACATAGTGGAGAGAAACCTTTTAAATGTAAAGAATGTGGGAAGCTTTCAGGGATAACTCAACTGTGTTGGAACATCAGAAAATCCATACTGATGAGAAACCATATCAGTGTAATGAATGTGGAAAAGCCTTTAGGAAGCTCTCAACTCTTATTAGTCATCAAAGAATGCATACAGGAGAGAAACCCTATCATAGTAAATGTGGAAAATCTTTCAAGTATAGCTCATCCTTTGCCAGACATCAGAAAACTCATAGTGGAAATAAACCCTATCAATGTAATGACTGTGGGAAAGCCTTTGTGAAGAGCTCAACCCTTATTGGACATCAGAGAATTCCTACTGGAGAAAAACCCTGTCATTGTAAGAAATGTGGGAAATCCTTCAAACATAGCTGTGGCCTTGTTGAACATCAGAGAATCGATACTGGAGAAAAACTTTATGAATGTAATGAATGTGGGAAAGCTTTTCCCTGGAGTTCAGCCCTTAAACAACATAAGAAAATTCATAACAAAGAAAGAGCAATCAAATGTAGTTAGTGTGGTAAATCATGCAGAAATAGTTTATTCATTTTGACCATCAAAGAGGAGACATTCAATAAATTACACATTTAACAAAAGTATTCTGTGCACCTCTATCCTGAAGAACTTCTCACTTGTGAGAAGGTCATTGTAGTATGGTTTGTACTAGTGAAATATTTGAAGAACCTAAATGTATATCAATATGGAAATAGTTACTGTAGAATCCTGTGTAGCAAATGACAGAATGAGGTAGAGATCTATATATGGCCATAGAAATATCCTGATGATACCTTGTTAAGTTAAAAAAGCAAGTTGCAGAAAATTTATATATTATGGTCTTATTTATATTTTAAAGAATGAAGCTATTTTTGTTTGTACATTTATGTTATATGATTTCAGAAAGATCTGGAAAAATAAAGGCCAAATATTAACAATTGTTTTCTTTGAGAAGAATGTGGTATTGGTATGATGAAGTGAAATTTTGACATTGGCTGTGTTTTTTTGAAATATTTAATCAAGCATACATCCGGGTATCTTCTATAATTTAACAGCTGTCTTTCTAAATTAGAAAATTCAGAAACCATAAAAATTAAAACACACACACACATGAAAACTAAAAACGTTTATATTACCAGAGGTTTCACAATGTTAAAATACAAAGAACCAGGCTTGGGGAAAATATTACCACCATCCTATATAACAAATAAAACTTAGAATATCTAAAGAGTTCTTAAAAATACATAAGAAAAATACAAAAACCCCAGTGGAGAAATGGTCTGGGATATGAATGTACAGTTGTCAGAAAAAAGTACATAAGGTCAAACTTAAAAAGAGATGACCAGCTTTAGAGAAATGTGATTTAAAATGATCAGATTTTTTTTGGCTTCTTTGGCAAAAATTAATAAGGTATATTTGATGCTTTTGAGTGTGCAAGAAAATAGGCACACTTGTAAGTATATATGTATATAAGTACATATATATATATAACAATATGTATATTGTTAAAAGAATTGTGAGTTAACAATATATTTGGTGGTGAGAAGCATAATTTGACTATATCTACCAACTTTTAAAAGGCTTCTACTCTTTGACCTAACATTTCAACTTCTTAAAAATCTAAGAAACAGTAAAGTTGGTCTTTAGAGCATTATAGTAGTGAAAAGTTGGGGTCACCATAGTATCTATCACCAGGGCTTTAAATATTTACACACATTGAGAACCACATCAGAGAGTGTTATAATTTTTGCTTCAATTGTCTAACATAATTTAGAAAACATAAGAGGAGAATAGTCTTTTATACTTACCCAATATTTTTACTCTCTCTGTTATTCTTATTTTCTCACATTTCAATTCTCTTTTTTTCTTTTTTTTTTCTGTTTGGATACTTTCTTGTAGCCATTCTTTTAGAGTAGGTGTACTGATGACAAATTCTCTTAGTTTCATCTGAAAGAAATGGTTGATTTCCCCCTTCATTCCTGAAGGATATTTTCACTGGGTATAAAAATCTAGGTTGAGAATTCTTTTCTTTCAACACTTGAAAAATGTGTGCCAATTCCCTTTGGCGCCCAGGATTTCCAATGAGAAATCCACTGCTGTTCAAATCATTGGTTCTCTACAGGCAATGCTTTGTTTATTTCTAGCTACTTTCAAGGTTTTTTTTTTTCTTTTTGTTTGAGTTTTTGAAGTTTGATTATGATGTGTCTTGGTGTGGATTTCTTTGGGTTATCATCTTCGGGATTTACTCAGCTTCTTGAATCTAGAGGTTTATGCCTTTAACTCAATTTGGGAAATTTTCAGCCAATATTTTCAAATACCCATTCAGCCTTACTTCTTTTCTTCTCTTCTTTTGGAACATCAATTATACAAATGTTAGCTCTTTCATTATTGTCTCATTTCTTTTCAGTGTATTTTATCTCTGTCATTCAGATTGAGTAATTATTATTATTATATCTTCAAGTTTACTGATTCTTTCCTCTGACATATTCACTCTGCTATTGAGCCCATCTCATGAGTTTTTAATTTATTTTATTTTTCAGTTCTAAAATTTACATTTGATTCTTTTTTTAAATCTCTAACCACCTGTGTGACCTTGCACAAGTTATTTAACCTCTCTAGACTTCAGTTTCCTGAAAATTATAGTTTGTGCTTATCCCAGAAGTTTTCTGTGAGACTTCAAGGATATAAGGCATAGCTCAGTGCCTAGCAAAAAGTAAGCATACCATAAATATTAGCTCTGATTGAAAAATTATTTTCCTACAAATAAATTAACATCAAACATTTCCAGCTTTCTGGTGTGTGATTTTTATGGTATTTTTATTGTGTGGGGTCATTCCCACTTCAGAGGTACCTTGATATTTTATAATGAAAGTCAGTGGGAAGATAAATATTTGTTTTACCAGGGCAAAATTCTGCACTTAAGTAGCGTTTGTTTGCTCAGTTTTTTTTTTCTTTTTGCTGAGGAAGGTTATGCCTGAGCTAACATCCATTGCCAATCCTTCTCTTTTTGCTGAGAAAGATTGGCCCTGGGCTAACATCCGTGCCCATCTTCCTCTAATTTATATGTGGGACGCCTGCCACAGCGTGGATTGATAAACGGTGCTTATGTCTGCACCTGGGATCCAAACCTGTGAACACAGGCCACCGAAGCAGAGTGCTTGAATTTAACTGCTCTGCCACCAGGCCATTCCTGTTTACTCAGTTTTAACCTTAAAAGTACATTGGGTACATGAGGAGCTTTAGCCTAACATCTTAATGTAACATTTTGATATTTAATGATTTGTTTTAAATATACTTTATATTATATATACTTATATAAATAAATATAATGTATAATATATACCTTATATGTAAATATACAGTATATATATATGTGTGTGTATACATGTATGTATATGTAGTCAATTCTCATTATTCACAGTACTTATGTTCTAAAAAGTCTCAGTGAACATTAAATTAGCAAATACTGAACCATTACTCCTAGCAGAAATACAAAGTTAGGTTCTTGTAAGCTTCTGGTCACAATATTTTCATTAACTGATCAGCATGTTGCAATTTTTTTTTGTATGTTTCTGTTTAAAGACACCTTACTTAATATATATTGTTGATTTATTAACATTGAACTCATAATCAGCAAGAGTATAACTCATTCTTGAACAAAGCTTATATAACACGTTTTCTTCCTGAGGTACATCCCAGCCTCTTGTGCTTAAGAACATTCGATGGCACTTCAGCACTACACTTGAGGCCATTTTAAACAGCAAAATCGCCAAGAAAAAACATAAAACTGTGAAAAACCTGGCATTAAATATACCATGAAAAGGAAGCTTCTTTACAGTATGAGAACTGAAACAAGAAGGCATAATGACACCTTGTTCGACCTTAGCTGGGAATTAAGCTGAATGTTGGGTGACTCAAATTTTTCACTGCTCTGTGTATGTTTGTGAATGACCACAAAAGTACAGAGAATATTGATTTTGGGTTATGAATAAATTTTACCATGTGTGTGTATTTGCAAATATGGAATCCATGAATAATTAAGATGTACTGTATATACACACACATGCAAACACACACCTCCATATTATGTTTCCTTAATATCTGTGGAAATTACAGGTAGAAAAAACATATTTGAGTCTTTACTTGGTAGTACTATGTGGTGCTGTATTGGGGGGGATAATTTAGGTTTTTTGCAATGCACATTAACTTTACAAACCACACTTTGTCATGGTGTATTGTGTATTTTTATATATTTATCTACTTGTCATCATGTATATGTTTTTGTATATTGTTGGATTCAATTTGCTAAAATTTTGTCTCTATTTTCATGAGGGATGTTGATCTGTAGTTTTCTTGTGAGTTCTTTGGTGTTAGGGTCAGATAAATACTGACTTCATGAAATTATTTGGGCATATTCTCTTATTTACTGAAAAAATATGTAGGGATTGTATTTTTTTTTTACTAGAATGTTTGATAACTTTATCAATAAAGCCCTTTTGGCCTAGAGTTTACTTTGTGTGAAAGTATTTAATTAAAAAGTTGAATTTCTTTAGTGGATATATGGTTACCTAGATTTTTTATTTCATCTTGTGTCAGTTTTGGCAAGTTGTGTCTTTTATATCTATTTTATTTGTGTTTTTGAATTTTTTGACATATTGTTTATACTGTCTCTTCATTATCACTTTAATATCTGTGTAATTTCTAGTGATGTCCTCTCTTTTATTCCTGATATTTTAAATTTGTCTTTTTCTCCTTTTTTTCTTAGTCTTGCTAAGAGTTTATCAGTTTTATTAATCTTTTAAAAAAGCCAACTTCTGCTTTGTTGATGTTCAATTTCAGTGATTTCTTCTATTATCATTTGTTTTCTTATACTTGCTTTGGTTTTAATTCTTTTTTTCTAGCTTCTTACATGGGAAACAGATCAGTGATTTTACACTTTTTTCTTTTCTAATATAGATATTTTAAAGCTATAAAATTCCCTATAAGGGCTGCTTTAGTTGCATCCCACAAATTTCAACATGTATTTTCATTATCATTTGGTTCAAAATATTTTCCAATTTTCCTTGTGATTTATTCTTTGAACTATGGATTATTTAGAAGCGTGTAGTTTAATTTCCAAGCAATTGGGAGGATTTTCTAGATATTTTATTGTTATTGATTTCTAAGTTAATGCTATAGTGGTCAGAGAATATACTCTCTATAATTTATATCTTTTAAATTTACTGAGACTTGTTTTGTGGTTCAGCATATGGTCTGCTTTGGTGACTGTTGCAAATGCACTTGAGAAGAATGTGTATTCTGCTTTTGATGAGTGTGGCCTCCCATAAATATCCGTGAGATCAAGTTGACTGATAGTGCTGTTCAAATCTATATCCTTTTTGATTTTTTTCCTACTTGTTTTACCAGTTATTGAGAGAGAGGTGTCAACATTTCCAACTATGACTTTTGTCGTGTCTGTATTTCCTTTAGTTCTCTCAATTTTTGCTATATGTATTTGGGACCCTTATTATTAGGTAAATAAA